ATTCATTAATAAATCCAGCTGGGTTTGCTCGCGTATCTGCCTCTCTATCCATGTATTTCTTGGACAGTTACCAGATGCACCAGGCTGCTGGGGACCACCACTGCTCATGTGGGACAGGCTGAACCCAGGTAGCTCAGGGTTTGACACTCCCACTGAACATGGACTGAATATGGAGCTCTGCTGCCAGCCCCAACAGCCCATCCCAGGAGGGACTTGCTTGAAGTAGCAAATAACAGAAGATATTTTGTCCTGCCTTGCTGCCAGTTCTCCTGCAGGGGATGGGGGCTGCAGGAGTGGAGCCCAGAGACCTGCACATGAGAAAGACAGCTCTGAGTGCCGAAACCTGGGATTAAGGACACTTCAAAGGCTGCCTCACACATCTGGTGTGTGTTAGGATGGATGCACTGGCAAGGAAAACATACATGGGCTCCAAGTGGGGCTGGTTAACCCACTCGTGACTGAGCCTCTGTGGAACATGAGGACAGGCTGAGGACTGTGAGACACCTGGCCAAGCCTCGGGAGAGCAGAGCTCAAATCTCACTAGTGGCCTGTGCTTCCTACCTGATTCTGGGAAATCAGGGAGTGATTCAGGTGCCTGAACATAGAGTCAAGTGTGGGATGCCTTGGGTTACCTCAGACAGCTGCCAAGGCCTGGCAGATGTCACACAGGTCGGGTAGGAAACCACCTCTTCTGGGTACCAAACCACAGTGGGCAAGTTCTACAGTCAGGGCATCCCTTCCCCTTCCTGAACATCTCAGCCTCAGCTGTCTGGCCTTGCAGTAGAGATAACCTGTCCTCTATCCCTGAGGCAGTAGCCACGGGCATAGCCACAGAACACCCACCATGGTGGCACCCTGGCCTTGGCTGGGCACCATGGGTGCTCCTCTAGCACTGATCATACCAAATTCATGTCATGCAGGACAGCTGCTTTCCCGGAGTGTGCAGCACCTCCTAGGATGTATTTTTTGACCCATACCAGATGGCCATAATCCAGAACAAACCTGGGTAAAGAGGCCTGAGCCCCTTTCATACACCCCTGTTTCTTCCTTTCATTGATGTACATCCCCAAGGCTTCTCCTCATGAAAGGCTTTAGGACAGAACCACACCATGAAGATCCATTCCCTGTGCATTTGGCTTCAAAGGATGCCAGAGCACCCCCTCAGTAATCCCAAAGACAGCCTGAGGAGGAGTTTATTGGACTCATAAAGAAAGAGGAACTGCAGCTACAGGAGGTCCAAGCTGCTGTGCAAGCTGGGGGAGCAGAGCCCTCCCTGGGCTGCTCCAGGTGAGCAGGCACCATCCCTCCCAGGCAGGTTTGCAAAGCTGGACTGTGCCAGGAGAACAGCATGGGGAGGGTGGAGTGAGAGCACCAAATCCTTGCGATGCTCCCTCTGAGCCCCACTGCAGGTTTGCAGTCAGTCAGAGCCAGATTACACTCTCAGGAGCCTGGTGGTCATACCAATGCCTCCTGGAACCTGAGCAACAAGTTCGGGTCAGGATTCCCACCCCCCTCAAAGAGAAAGCTGTTCCCAACAAAAACATGACACTGAGGAGGTCTTGGAGCACCTCCTGGCCAGGTGGTGTGTCAGTGTCCTGACAGAGGCAGCAGCCAGGCTGGGTGAGTGCCTGGCTGGGAGCAGGCCCAGCTCTGAAGAGAGCACCAGGGCAGCAAGGAGTCAGCTCAGCCCCCAGGCAGACCCCACAGTTGGGCTTGTGGGTCACAGGGGTGACAGATGCAAAGGGGGATGCAGGCAGAGCATCAGTCAGGGCTGGATTAGCAAGGTCAGTGAAGGTCAGAGCAGAGGGGCCCAGGATCCCCAGGGCATCCCAAGGTTAAGCATTTCCCTGCTGCACAGCCAGCCCTTCCAGTTATCACAGGGTTTTCAGATTTGGGGAAAAGCCCTAAACCCTCTGAAGTAAGTTCACCTTACAAAATCCAGGGCAAGGGATTCCCACAAACTTCAGAGCCAGAGTTCACACCAGTAGTTTTTAAAAAGCCAGCCTTTCAGCCAGCAGAGAGTCTTCTGTGTTTCAAAAAGCAAAGTGCAATTCAAATGAAGTCTGCTGGGCAATCCCTTGCTTTAACACACACTCCTCCAAACCCATAGCTTTACATAGCAAAATAAGCCTGGAGGGAAGGCGAGGCAAGCCAGGCTTAATTTATTTTTTTTCCTCAAGGAGAAAAGGACAGTGAAGGCACCTGATACCTCCTATAATTAGAGACAGTTCTTTATCCCTAATGCCACTGCCAGACCACCTATATCCAATTTGGAAACCAGAAGTATAACCCAGCTTCATTAAATAATCCATCTGGTCCTCCCCTGTTAATTTCCCTACTATTTTTCCACTTTAATGAGCCCAGCTGGGTCAAACTGTGACCAGTTACTCCTGGGCAGGGATCAGCCATCCCTCCATTCTACCCACAAGGAATCTGGTGCACTGAGGGGGTCCAAAAACTCTCCAAGTATCAGTTTTCCCAAACAGCCTCCTTCCAGCCATGGGTATACTTAGCAACAGCAGTCATTTCAGCAAAGACCCTTGAGACTCCTCTAAGGATCTGGAGAATTCAAGACAGCTGGGGATGGACGTGGCAAGGAAAAGCCTGGGGCTTGCTGGCACAGCAGAGCCTCTCCCCAGGCAGTGACCATACATGGGCTGCCTGCCCTGCAGCTCATGGGGAGGGAAGCCCCAGGAGCACAGAGGCAGGGGAATTTGGGAAAAGCCAGTCTGCCTCCCAGGTGCAGATATCTGTGCAGATATCCTGCAGAGCACAGCCCAAGGGACGTGCCCAGCCATGGGTGTAGGAACTAAGGGCAGGAGTTACCTGAAGTCTCCAAAGCTTTACAGAGAGCTCTGAGTAACAGAGCCTGTGCACACTGAGCTCCCAACCTCTCCCCATCAAGGCAGGACAGGCCAAGCAGCCACCTCTCCAGAGCTCCCCCCAGCTTCTCGCTTATTTGGGAATGCTCACACCTCAGCAGTTGCCCATATAGCAATTCCAGTTCATGGAAGAGAGCATAACACCAGTCTGGTTTAAGCAGAGTTACAGCAGCATCAGCAGGGCTTTGCCAGCATGTCCCAGTTTGTATGAGGAAACAGAGTAGGCTGTGTTTGAATTAATATTTCTAGGACATTTTCTAATGCATGCTGCTATATACACTGGGCACAGTCAAATAGACAAGGTTCATTGTCTATGGAAACACAGCACCAAGATTTCTCTCCTGACATCTCCCACTGTGCATTACACCCAGGAGCCTTGGGATTTACTTTCCCGGCAGCTCCATCACAAGATGGTTGCTCTGACATCCATCATGATTTAGGTTGTCCTTAGAGCCTTGTCCTGCCTCCATCTCTACATGAGTCAGCTTGAAAAGAGCTTTTTCATCAAGGAGAGGAGATCAGGGAGATAAGCTAGCCACAGGGTGAGAAAAGGTAGACCCAAACAGCAAATAAACATTTCCTTCCTCCATTTTGGGAGTGGAAATCACCAGAGTCTAGCAAGCGTTTAAACAGTACAAGGAAAAGCAAGAGAAGTTTAGAGCTGCACATGAAACTATTATACAAATTGTAAGGGAAAGTAGTTCTTCATATTTTTAAAACAAAGAGGAACTCATTTCTGCTCACTATTTTTGCCATCAATTTTCGTATTTCATTAAGATTCTAAAAACACAGCTAGAGAGGAAAGGATGTGCCACCCTGCTGTCAGCATTCACACTCTTTTTAAACAAGGCTGTAAGGGTCTGTGTGCTACAGAACAGACTCCTCCAAACAGCCTTTTATTTAGCTGAAACTCCAGCAGGAAACAGAAAGGGGAACAAGCTGACCCAGCCCCACCAGCAGACCCCAGTGGTGGCCCTGCACGCACCAAAGTACCTGCACTCCCTGCAGCAGAGGGGAGCAGGAAGGTTTGCTGCCTTGGGCCCTGCACAGCACCTGCTCCTTGCTGCTGCAAGGTGAGCTGAGCCTGAGCACCGGCACAGCCAGGCAGGAACAATGCCGGGAATCACATCCATCCCGCTGCTGAGGAAACCCCTGTGCTCCCCCAGCAGCCAAGGCTTCCCCTTTGTTCGTGTACAGAGCCTTGCAGCACCTTTTGAAGCTTCCAGTCCAATCTTCAGCCGCGGCTAATTGCTGTCAGGTGTCAGCCGAAGCACCTACTGCAACCACTGGTGACAGGAGATGACACACCTTTCTCCTCTCTTTGTCACTCAAGGGTTTTTTTTCCTATCAACATTAGCTGTGCCAGCTCTCAGAAGCCTTGGGGAGAAATGCTAATGTGAGCTTTGAAGCTGGAGGTGAAAAATCAGGCAACCTCCCAAGCTCCCTGGATGCTCAGCCTGAATCCAGTCCAAACCTGAGCACTTTGGGTGATGCACTTTGGCCGAGCTTATCTGTCTGCCTCCACCACAGACAGATGTGGTCTCTGCTACTGATCTGTCTTCTTTTAGCCCTCATGGAAAGCTGTCTGTATTCAAGTGAAGAGACCCCAAATTTTACAGTCTCTCCTGGTAAAGCAATAAAGCAGAGCAGAGGCACAGGGAGATATATAATTTTACAGCAGCCAGCCTGAAACATTGGCAGGTTAATTTGGCTGGAGACATAGGGGATGCAGCAAGAAATCAGATGTGCCCAGCAAGGAGAGAAGGCAGCTGATCTCCACATTAGAGAGGTCTTAGAGATGGGGCTGCTTTCAGCTGCAGAGCAGTTCCAGGTCACCAGATCTCACTTGAGCTTTCCTGCTTCTGGAGCTGGGGTTGCCACTCAATCAACCCCTTCCCAAGGATTTGAAGTTCAAAGGGGATGAGACCTTTAGGAAATCTAAGCCTCACCCTAGCTGGAGAAGCTTGTCAAAAGCCTGATGGAACATCTGACCTATTCCAGCCTCATGGGTCATCATTGTTCTGGCTGCACATCCTCCTTTCCCTCCATGCCCCTCCAGCTTCCCACCTTCCCAGCATCCTGGGACTGGAAGGGAGCTGTGGTGTCCCCAAGCCTCACCTCTCGTTCTCCTCAGGGGATTCATCTCCCACTTGGCTCACTCCTTCTGCACCCTCCTGGCACCCCTCCGAGTCTGACATCTTCTGCCCTGGTTGGCACAGCAGCCCCACAGACAGCTCCAGCACCAGGGTGCTGCCACTGTTTCACTTTTCCTGCGCTCAGCAGAAGTGAGCTGTGCCGGAAACTTCATGGGCTGAGGGTTTGGGGGGATGGGAGAGGCCAGAAGGAAGGTGAACTTGGGTGTTTGTTTTGTTCTCTTTTAAAAACCATTGAGGCTGATTTAAGATTTTACTTGTCGGCAGCTAAAAATTTGGAAGTCCTGGGCTAACCCAAAAGAAAAGTGGGCAGCATGGACATCCCCGCCATGGCAGGGAAAGGAGTGACCCACTGCCCCCCCACCCCCAGCTCCCCATGCCACTCTGGTGACAGCCAGCATCTCTAAACCACAGCACCCTACACTGTACCAGTCCCAGGGTGCTGCTGCAGGTGCTGCCAAGGTTCTCCTGACTTCACACCCCTCAAATCCCACCAGAGCCAAAGGGTCTGCTTCTGCCCTGCAGATCCCACCCCTCTCTCCCTTTGTCGGCTCTTCCCCACAGCTTCCTGCTGATGCCATAATGGGCTGAGGTTCTGCAACACCTCCTGGGGCTTGGATTGTTGTCTCTTTGTCTCTTCACCACTGGGGAAGGGCATGAGCACCTGCAGCTTTGGACAGGGACCAAGAGCAGAGAGGTCCCCCATCTCCTCAGCACAGCCCTGCCACAATGAGGCAGTTCCTGCTGGCACCATGGCATGAGTCAGGGTCTGGCCACCCAGGCAGGCAACACCCACCTCTCCCACCAAAGCTTTATTTACATCACTGCTGCCATGATGCAGCTCTTCACAAAACTAGAGAGAAATGGCTCCCAGTCAGCGCCCCTGATCCCGGCGGGGCAGCGGGGACAGCGGGGAGAGGAGGACAGCTGTGGAGACACAGGTGCTTAGGACTCGCCAGCCTCAAACATCTTCTTTCTGCCCTCCATGCCGGACTTCTCCTCGATGTTCTTCCTCCAGTCACCGACATCACGCAGATCCTTCTCCTGGGGGAGGGATGGTTGCATTGGTGTGAATGGTGCCGTGGTAAGAACCCACCTGGCCCCAGCCCCACACCAGTCCACCCATGGAAACCCCCATGTCAGCTAGAGGAACCCAGTTCCACCCATGCTATCCATCTTTTTGAACTGCACCCTCCTTTTTCAACATCATGGGTGCCAGAGAAGGAAACACCGAGCAGAAAGAAGAACATTATGGAGAAAGAGTCATTCTGAATCCTGTCTATCTTACAGGGAGTTGTGAGCCCTGAAGGGTGGGGGCAACTCCGGTTAGGGAAAAAAGGAAGAGGGAAGGATACCTTCTCAGTGTCCTCCTTCTTCACTTGCTTCAGGTTGGCTCGGAGGTCCATGCAGACCTTGTGCTTGGAGCCCAGCAGGGCGCGCAGCATCGCGTCAGCCGACATGCGCACCCTGCGCAGCGGCGGCCGCTTGAACTTGCCACGCAGGTCAAAGAGTTTCTGGCTCAAGTCTTCCAGCTGGAGGGGATGAAATGAGGGGGGTGGAGAGATAGGGGCATGGGTTCAATGAGATGGACCCAAGCAGTGCAGGGAGGCATGAGGAATGGGCTGCAGACGCCCCTGAAGGATGGCTCCAGAGGAAACTCACCTCCTTTGTAGTCTTCTGTAGCTTCACCTCTGTGTCATACCTCTCCTCATCCACTGACTCTATCTTGGCATGAAGCTTTTTGCACAGCTCCTGGGAAGCAAGTAAAGAGGGATGTTGACTGCTAGGACGCACACATGATTCCTCTCTCCTGACCCCTCTGGCTCTGAAAGCCCTCAGTCCAGAAGGCTAGATGGGATTGAGATGAAGAGGGGCTTGTCAACCAGCTCCTAACCTCCATGCTACTGGCTGCACACAAATGCTGCCTCAATACAGCATTTAAAACACATCTTTCCTGCCAGCCAGACCATTTTTGTTTACAGAGACCCCACCTGCCTCTCAAGCCAGCTGCATGTTCATCTGGCTCCACGGTAACACAGGGTGAGGAGAGGGTCAAGATGGGAATGCCAGTCTAGATTCACCAGGCTGACTGATGGAGTCAAATCTTTTCTGCTCCAGCACTGAAAGCGTTAAAGTAGCCTGTACCTGAAGTTCCTGCATGGATCCTGGGAGTGACAGAGGAGGGCAATGCTCTGCCAGGTAGTTTTGCTTCTCCACTTCTTTGGCAGCTGCTTCCTTTTCTATTTCAGTGACAGCAAGCTGGAGCATAGCACTCTGGAAGGCAGCAGGAGAAGCGTCAGCGCAGGGTGGAAGCAGGGAAGGAGGGTAGGGGGCTCACTGGGGAGTGGGAGTCCTGATGGAGAGGGGAGTTCCCATAAATACCAGCATTTCCAAGCAAGGGATAAGACAGAGACCCAGTAAGGAGTGGGGTGGGACTGCATTGTGGTCTCTTCCAGTAGGGAGAGTGCTGAGAGCTGGCTGGCTTGGGATGGGAGGTGGGAAGGTCACACATCCCACAGCCACAGCAGTGCCACGTACCTTCAGGTGCTGCCGACGGGCAGTGGCTGCCCTCCTCTTTTTCTGCAAGTGGAAGGAAAGACAAGAGAAAAGAAGGTTATCAGGTGCCCATTCCCCTTTCCATTGCCCTTCTCCATGCAATGCCACAGCCCACCAAGGAGCTGCAGCCCTGCCAGGGAGATGGCTCCATCCTGACACACAGTTTGTCCCCAAACCAGCAGCACTCAAGGAAGAGGCTCCCTGCTGAACCCGCTTTGCCAACCTCAGGTACCCAAACCTCCAAAGTCCCAGAAGAGAAGATAACAAGGGTGATGAACTTGAAAATATATGTATAAAATTTGGCTTCAAACTTGGCATCTTGGGACTTTTAGCCTTTTCTCTAATTTCCTCTTCACTCAGATGTGTTTTACATTGTGCTCAAGCTAATGGCCCCCATGTTCCTGGGCACTCAGGAGCTGTGGGATGTCTTTCTGAGCAGTCCAGAGCATGTGTCCTTCTGACACTCTGGTGACAAGGACAGCCAGGCAGGTTGAACATGAAGGCTGTGTAATTTCTTGGAGCTGGGAAGACCCAGCACAAGTGATGCTGAAGCAGGGGTTCATCACAGCTGGAGGACAGACCTGACCACGGGCTGCCCTTCTGTCCCTGCCAAGCTGGACCAGCAGCCACAGGACTCCAATTTATAAAAAACCCACAACTTCTGCATTTCAGCTCTTTCCTGAGGATTTCACTGAGAAGACATGGCACGGCTGAGTTGGGCTGGCCCAGGGGAAGCACATCTGATATGCTGAGGGGTAGGGAGTAGAAAGCAGCACTTGGGTGTGGGTCTGTGCTACAGAGAGGAGGAAGTGGATAAGGATGTGCAGAGTGAAGTATAACAAAACCTGACATGTCTCACATATGTAAATGATGCCACATATGTAAGTGGTGCCAAGGCCCTCCTGATAGGGCTGGAGGGCTCTGCAAGTAAAAGGCACCCAGCTCAGAGATGCAGCACACTATTAACCATCAGTCAATCAGATCCCTTGAGGTCTATTAGCCCAGGGCTTATTCTCCATCTGAAAACTGGTACCTTAGCAAAGAGTGTCCTCCCAGCCTTTTCTGGGAGGTCTGGGCTTGACAGGGAGAAAAATAACATGTTGGTTATCAGCACCATTTTGTGGCATTTCTATGTCACTGACATCCTCTTTTCTCTCAGTGAAAACAAGCTGGAGCTCGTGGTGTTGCAGACATATGGGGAGATGCCAAGCAGAAATGCAGGATGAAGCAATTCACTAAGAGGAAATGTGGAGTGACAAAGCCACAAACAATCCTCCCACACCTTCCCCTGCATTTCTCCAGACACCCCCAGCCCCACCTGGCTTTGCCAGAAGCCAGAGAAAACTTGCTAAGAATGAAACTTCCACCCTGCTCACACTCCCCTGGATCTAGGTCTCCTTGAATTGCCTTTGGGAAGGGATTTGTCAGTGCTCAGTGGGTAGAAAATGAAGGGCTAGATGTGGGGAAGGAGGAGAGGATGCGAGGCCAAAGGCGGGGTGGTGGATGGATGATGGGGGAGAGGCAGCTCTGGACCACTGCCTTCCCAGCACCATCTCGTGGCCGGCTGGGGAAGCAGGAATGGAGGAAAAAAAGCATCTACCTCCAAGCCAGGGCACAAAAAAAAAGTCTTTCAAAAGGGATTTTCCTTCATGTGTTTACCAGGAGGAGTCAGCAAGAAAATAACCATGAACCATTCTTCCCCCACACACACTCAGCAGCTGATTTTCCTAGGGAGGAATGGTGGAGCCAGGACTGCTGCCATAAACATTGCTAAAGGAAAAACCCCAGCAAAACACACTTACCTCTTCACTGTTCAGGAAAAGCAGATGGACAAGGAAAGGAAGGAAGAGAAAGGGGAAAGAGGAAAAAAAAAGGACAGTTAGCATCCTGACTGGAAACAAGCAGAAGAATCTTGACAAGCATAAAAGTTGATGGTTGAACAAAAGTTTTTAAATGCCAACAGTGTATTAGAGACAGAAAAATGGGAACTTACTCAGACATCTTGGTTTAGATGGTTGTGAGCCTGAAATGAAAACCAAGAGAAAAAGTTAACAACTATTCATGCTTGTGGTCACTTTTTCTGTGGGTTTTAAACACACTTTTTTTTTTGTGGGTTTAAAAACAAAGCAAGACTACTCTAGAAAATAAAAAGAGGAACAGGTCTTTTCTTATTTCTCAACTTCACCAATTTTTCATCATAAAGGGAACTGCAGTTTGTAGACAAGAGACAAACATCTTCTCATAGCAACACAAACCACAGCATCAAGGGACTTCTGGAAAAGACCAGATGGGGCTGAGCCAGAAAAAGAGAGACTTGTGACAGTGATTCCTGCAGGTATGTTTCTTGTCTGACACCCAAAAAAATCCATTTTGTTCAATGAGGGATGAAAAGGCAAAAACTATTTTCAGTTTGCTGCTTTACTTTGCCATTCAACCTTGCTTCACTTCATAAAGAAGAAATATTCTAAAGCCAGCAAAGGGTCGGCAATGACCCCAGGTGACAAGGAAGGACTTCAGAGGATGCTGCTGCCACTGTAGGCTCTCATTCTGTGGGACAGGGGAGCCTGTTATAGCAGCTTCAGTGCAGCTGGAAGTTGTGGTTGAGTTGATACAAGCACAAAAACATTCCCTAGGCAATCCCTTGCATTTGCTTTAAGTGGAAATTTTACACATACAACACAGAGTATTAGGGAAGAGATGGAAGAGCACCTTTGGTTTGCTGTAAATGATTTCCTCACAAATAGAATTTTACTTTTCTATCAGAGCAATATCTACTTGCATCGCCTAAGCCTGTCCTTTGCAGAGCAGACGAGGCCCCCAAACGCAGCCTGCAGTCCTGGGAGGCTCTGTCAGGAGGGGAAGTGTTAATGGGGGCTCATGCCCGAGGCAGGAGGCACAGCTTGCAAAGCCAAGGAAACTTTATCCTGGAAAATGTGCGGGCCCATCACATTACTTCAGAGAGGAGGGGTGGGGGGGGGAGGGAAAGTGCTTCTAAAAATGGCCAGGGAGCTGCAGAAGGAGCTGCAGCTGTCTCCTGGGACGGCAGCCTTTCCGCGGTGCCAGCCCCGTGACTCGGGGC